TTTTTTGAGATGGAGTCTTGCTCTGTCACCTAGGCTGGAGTGTAGTGGCACAGTCTGAGCTCACTGCAACCTCTCCTTCCCAGGTTCAAGCAATTCTCCTGCCTCACCCTCCTGAGTAGCTGAGATTACAGGCATGTGCCACCATGCTTGGCTAATTTTTTGTATTTTTAGTAGAGACGGGGTTTCGCCATGTTGGCCAGGCTGGTCTTGAACTCCTGACCTTGTGATCTGCCTACCTGGCTTAGATTTTCTTTTATTTGTAAAATACATGATTAAAATTACTAAAAGGATTTTTAGTGGTACTTCTTTTTATGCTTAGAGTAAATCTTATGATGTATAGAAAATGGTAATAGCTTTTCTTTCTGTTTTAGTATCCCTACAGAAACTTCAGGAAACAGCCCTGTGTCTCCTAATACTCAAGATAAGTCAGTAGGTCAATCTCCTCTTAGATCTCCCTTGAAACGGCAAGCCTCTGTCTGTTCCACCCGACTTGGAAGTACTAAGAGTCTTACTGCTGCTTTCTATGGGGACAAGCAGCCCGTAACAGTTGGAGTCCAGTTTAGTAGTGATGTCTCTCGAAGTGATGAGAATGTACTAGATTCACCAAAGCAGAGGAGAAGTTTTGGTTCATTCCCGTATACACCATCAGCAGACTCTAATTCATTTCATCAGTATCGATCAATGGATTCCAGCATGTCAATGGCTGATAGTGAAGCCTACTTTTCTGCTGCTGAGGAGTTTGAACCGATTAGCAGTGATGAAGGCCCTGGAACTTATCCAGGTAGAAAAAAGAAGAAAAAGCAAACCCAGCAAATTGACTACAGTAGGGGTTCTATATATCACAGTGTAGAAGGACCACTTACTGGACATGGAGAAAGCATTCAGGATTCCCGAACTCTACCATTCAAAACACATCCTTCTCAGGCTTCATTTGTTTCTGCATTAGGTGGAGAAGATGATGTTATAGAGCATCTATATATTGTAGAAGGTGAGAAAACAGTGGAGAGTGAACAGATTACTCCGCAACAACCCGTGATGAATTGTTATCAGACTTACCTTACTCAGTTTCAGGTAATTAATTGGTCAGTTAAGCACCCAACCAACAAAAGAACCTCTAAGTCCTCATTGCATCGTCCCCTTGATCTGGATACACCAACCAGTGAAGAAAGTTCATCATCGTTTGAACAGCTTTCTGTTCCAACTTTTAAGGTATAAACCAAATCATTAGTTTCCATTGATACATTTATTTAGAAAAATAGATTTTTAAGAAATTGTTTTCATAATTACTCTCATTCTTTTTAGTGACCCTTCTAAGAGATAAACTTTCTTTTTTTTTTTTTTTTTTTTTTATTTTTATTTTTATTTTTTCCCATTTATTTATTTTATTGCATTTTAGGTTTTGGGGTACATGTGAAGAACATGCAAAATTGTTGCATAGGAACACACATGGCAGTGTGATTTGCTGCCTTCCTCCCCAT